CGTTCAGAAACTCCTTCATCCATAGCAGCTTTATTCCACAGCCATCCACATAGGGGCCCATTTGGATGTAGTTTGCTACTCCTGTGAGTTGTGTTATTTAACAACAAAGAGCAAGGAGAGCTTGCACATTCTCTGAAATAAGCCAGCCTGTACCAAAATGCTGGTCCTTTATTCACATTTTTCAGAGCCCCTGGATGGGAAGAGAGACTGAGCCTGTTTATCAGCCTTCATGACCTCTTTTGGTCCCAGGCCTAGGGGAAAATCACAGGTTGGTTGGGCCAGAGGAGCCTCGTGACCTGTTTTGTTTTTGTTTTTTTTCCAGAGGAGACTGGGGTTCCACCCCCTCGTCTGGCACTACCTGTGGGCTTAGCCTTGGAGGCTGCACGGGAGAAGCTGGCACCAGAAGAGCCTCCAGAGAAGAGGGCTGTGTTGATGGGCTCCATGGACCCACCCCGGCTGGGTGCACCCCCCAGTTTCCTGCCCCGTGGCAAGGTTCCTCTAAGGGGTGAGGAAGGGCTTGTTAGTGAAGGGATTTGGGCTGGTGTGCCGAGGGAAAATAGACTTCATTTGATGGATGTTGGAGGTGTTCAGACAGATCCTTGTATAGACAGCCACATAATCCTGGTGTGGGGTTCAAGAGAAATGGGGGCTATCTGTAGGAATAAGGGAGGAGTCTATGTGTGAAATCTGATTCCCCAAAATGTGACTCCCCTGCCTTCTTCTGGACAGAAGAGCGATTGGATGGGCCCCTCAACCTGGCAGGCAGTGGCATCAGCAGTATCAACATGGCACTAGAGATCAATGGGGTGGTCTACACTGGTATGGGTGCTATAGGCTGTCTACACTGGCATGAAGTTGGGATTTAAACAGGCATGGGGATTTTAGATTTTTCTCTACCAGCATGAGGTTCAGGGGTATCTGAACTTGCATGGGGGTTCAAAGGACTCTTACATGGCATGAGGTCCCAGCATGTCTCTGTGGTATGATTGACACAGGATGTCTGCTTTGTCATGGGTCTCTGTGTTAGTATTTATTCTTTACCCACGTAAGGGTATCAACATTGGCATAGCAGCTTCCCACTGACCAGAGGGACTTGTCAACAGTAGTGTGTGGCCTGGGAGGTGTGTGTTCTCTAAGAATCCACACACTTTTGCCCACCTTTTTTGTTTTGGGTCCCACCCGCTCCTGTTTATGTTTGCATTTTACTATCTCCTTATACCCCTCCATCAGGTATCCTCTTTGCTCGCCGCCAGCCTGTGCCAGCTTCCTTGGGCCCAACCAATCCTCCTCCACCCTCTACAGGGCCCCCTTCCAGCACCTTGCCCTGAAAGCAGCTATTGAGAGTTAAGAGTTCCAGTAGCATTACAGGAGGGAGAAGGTACCCTCCCACCTTGCTTCTTTCAGGATGTGATGCCCCCTCTGGGATCCAGTCCTGGGAGATGACAGCATGCCACCTCCACACCAAAGGGATTTCTTATGTATTCCATCTACCTCATTGTAAAAGGAGGACACCACCTCCACAGCTGATTCCAGCAGCATCTACCAAAGAGTTCTTCCCCCAGTAACCCCTGTCATCTCCTCATGTGACCCCTATGTCAATGTCATCTTTGGTACCCCACCTCTTTGAGTCAGCTCTGCTGAATGTGAAGATGTCCCTTTAAGTCGCATCTGGAAAATAAAGTTGCATTTCCTCTGTCTCCCGCGCCTCCTCTTCTTGCTTGGGTCTGGGAGGTGAAGGGTACACAGGCTACACTGAGCTGTCCAAGTGGAAGGCAGAATAACAAAGCTCCCTAAGAACAGAAGAACACCTTTAAAAAAAAAAAAGGCAGGTTTTCACTAAGTTGTCCCCTGACCCGTCTTGAACTCACCGTGTAGAGCAGGCTGGCCTCAAACTTGCAGTCATCCCCTTGCTTTCTCTCTTAGTACCTCCACACAGTGCACGGACCCAAAGCAGACTGGTGTTAAGGTCTAACAATAAGAGGCTTAGGTGCAATTCACTTGAACCTTAAAAGAGCCCCAAAACTTATGGTGTCTTCCCCAGGAAGCTGCCTTCTGACTAGTGGTGTGTGGCATGGGATGTGTGTGGTTCTCTGAGAATCCAGACACCCTTTTTGTTTTGGGTGGGTATGAACCTATCTTGGAATAGTGGGTGTATTTATACGCGCACCCTCAGGGAATGGGGGTGGAAAAGACTCTGTATCCTGGAATTAGAACACTAAAAGTCTTGACAACTAGACCCTGGAAATCAGGCTAGGGCCAGGACCCAGAACGTTACCTAGGAAACCAGATTGCTTTGACATCGGTCTGGTCACTTCCGACATCCAAAGACTAAATCGTGACGTCAGTTCCTGCAAAGAGCAGCGGTGCTCTAGGATTGGCCAGACTTCTTATTTGGGCGGACGTCCCACCCTCTGGCTGTTTCGGGTGGCTGAGACCCGGCTGCAGAAGGGA